CGAGGCCCACCCATGGAAATACTGACGGACAACGATACTGCATTCACCAGTAAAGACTTTAAAGAATTTGCGGACAATTGGGACGTGCATCTGCGGTTTCGATGTGCCTACTCGCCAAGTGGAAACGGCATCGTGGAGCGGAACCACAGAACCATCAAGACCATCGCAGCCAGGAAGGGCTGTACAGTATCGGAGGCGGTTTACTGGCATAATGTCGTCCCGAAAGATAACGTTTCACCATCCACGGCGCCGGCTGATGCACTGCACAAATATCATGTCCGTGTGAAAGGCATCGAAGCCAACCCGCTGCCTGAGCTAGAAGTGACTGTAGGGATATTGAAAAAAGGAGTTGTTGTTTGGGTCAAAAACCCACGTGACAAGTGTACGACAAAGTATGGCACTGGACGTGTTACAGAAGTGATCAGCACGCAATCTGTGAGAGTTGATGGGGTGCCTCGTCACATTAAAGACTGTTACTGAGCGATGAAAGCGATTCCGAGTCTGAGAGTAGTGAGCGTTCGATCTGCCTTGAGTTAGACCTGCAGGGCAGTGATTCTGATAACAGCAGCCTCCCGACGGATACAGTGTTTACCGACACTCAAACCACAGACAAGAACACGCATGAGGATGAAGCTTGTGTTGTCCCCCTTCGGAGGGAGACTCGACGGCGACGATCGCCACCTTCTTGCTCTGTTTGTGATCATGAGATCAGGGGAAGTGTGGGGAAAATTGTGAAAAGGGCTTACCTCGGAAACGCGTGCGAATCTGTTCAGTGTGCAAACTCCGGTCCTCCCAACGGTAAAAGTAACCAAAATGGCGGCGCCCATATTTTATGCCGGGCGATCTCGGTTAGTTAACGCGAAATCTCGTTGTCTTGTCATTCGCATGCAAATCGTGGTCGGTCCTCGGCTGTATAAAGCAGGCTCTTTTTGCTGTTTCAGATCAGAGAGCTTTTGGCTCGTGAGAAGGTTGGACGTGCCACACCGGTTTCTTTGTTCCTAACTGCTATCATCAGTTGAGTTGTTGCGTTACCTCCCACAGTATTCGAGTCAAAAAATTCATTTATTCGAAAAATATAAAAGTGGCATAAATGTTTATAATGATCAAAAGATAATTCCCTCAAGGAAGCCATCCACAGCACCTACCACGGCATCTACCACGGCCTTGATGCTCGACTCTGGAATCTGGTGCATGCGTCATTCACGATCTCTATAAGGATAGTCTCAAACGTCTCCTTAATCCTGTCGATCAGCTCTGTCTTTGTGTTACAGGCAGTGCGGCTGGTGTCTTTCGCCCCACATATAATATTCCATAGGATTACAAATTCGTAAAAATTATTTGAGAACCACATGACATCTTCGAGGCGTGTCAGGTAACTAAATCGTGCTGACAAACATGTGTTTTTTAGCAACCACCCTCTCCAACCAAAGTTTGATCACAGTGTTCAGCAACTCCACATAGCCATTCGAATTGAGCGTAAGACTCTGTTCAAAGATGTGATGTGGTATGACGTCACCCTCACTGGAGAGACACACAGAAACCACCACAGTTTGGGAAAACTTGGTCTCCATGGCAGGATGAACGTCCTATGGATTGTTGGCAAGCCATCTGTTGTTCTAGCTATTGCGCAACTGGTCCTGACAACAATTATTTTCATCAGAGAAAACGAGATGGTCCCTGGCTCAGTAAATATTTCGGCCTTTTTTAAGAGTTTATTTTACCTTTGTCACGAACTGTATTGGACGATTTACTTGAAACGATTTGAAAAAGCCAACTATTAGTCCTGTGACACCGTAGTCCAAACAACGTCAAACGCCTCTGTGATATCTAGAGTCACAGCCTGAGCTTCGCCATTCTTATCTAAACCTTAATAGTCAAATTGATGGTCGTTGATACGTCAGAAGTAGATTTGGCGAAATAAAAGCCATGTCTGAAAGGAAACCGTGCTAGTTAAGATGCTTAACCGATTCTGCATTAATTAGAGCATCGATTAATTTGCCAGAGAGGTAAGAGACTTATATGGCGATATTTGAAGGGGTCAGAGGGTTCCGGGCGTAAAAACATGAACTATAGAGGCGCACTTCCTACAAGCTTGCGAGCAGGAAGCAGCGAGACATTTGTTGTAATGTTTGAAGAGAACAGAAACCGGTCATAAAGCACATTTTTGAATGACTACAAGGATCCCGTCACATCCGCATGCCTTGTGGTGATATCAGAAACGAATGACTGTGTTATGCGCATATCACTCAGTAGACTCTCTGTTCTACGTGGAAAATGTGACAGAGGTACTCCAGATAAATCGAGAGTGGAGGTGGAAAAGAACTTCCGAGCAAAGCACTCCGCCTTATCGGCAGTAGATTCAATAATTCATATTGATTGAAGAGAGGAGAGATTGATGAGTTGCTATTGTTCAGGACCCACTTGCAGAATCGTCAGTAACTTCCAGAACAAAACTTGTGAGAGGCTATACAGTGTCTCGTTCTATCAAAAAGAAAAATAGCGGTTTTGCTTCCTTGATGAAACACTTGCAATCATTACGAGCAATGTCAAAGAGACGTCTGTTAGAAACGGAAACGTCGCTCTGGTATAGCCGGAAGAAATGATTCCTGTGAACTATAGCGAGTGAAGAGTAAGGTGAGAACAAAGGAGATAATTGTGGTTTCACTTGATATTTCTGTGCTTGAATGTAAACGTTAATGTCGGCTTTCAATCAGGAAGAGATCTCAGTGACACATATCATTTCAAGAACCATCGTGATTAAAACCACGGTACGAGTCCCAGCCAGTTCGTTGATAGCAGAAAAATGTTCTCTTAATAGGAGCTTCTTGACCGATAGGAGAGCAGAAACAGATTTCTATAGACACTACTGGGTTGCCAAAAGGAAAGAGCTGCTGAGCGCGACATGAGTCTCTGGTGAAAATAATGAAGAAATCAAGTAGAGAAGCGTGTCCATCAGAATTACTGAAACACGTGTGGAAGTCTACTATCTGAATGAGAGATTGAGTAACAGAGAAGGTCTAGATACCAGTGAAATCAGTAGCATTAGAGTGATTAAACAACCTGATATGGTGTGCATTGAAGGCGCCGACCACTAAGTTATTTGCAGACGTGCATAGCCTTATCTATAGTATCAGAAATTCTATCTAGTAGGCAAAAATCATGGTAGGAAGGGGGACAATAAGGGAAGAAGAGATAGCTGACTGGGTTCAGTCGTGAAAGTCGTAAGCACATGTAAGCCGAACCTGGAAACTCAAAAGTGCCAGTTCGAAACCTTCCTGAAGATAGACACCAAGGTCATGCATGTGGGCACTAGTGTTCTTCAGAAAAGGAGGAATGTAGCCAGAAACAGACTGGAAGTTACTGATAACTTAATATTAATTTAATAAAGAGTTAGTATGTCTGGAGGATTTCCAGGGAGAATGATTCCACACTGTAGAAATTGGTATGAATACTACCAATGTTGGAGGAAGAAAAGTTCAGGGTTTTAGACCTTTTCTTTTTTGACGAGTTAGTTTAATTTTATTTAACTTCTCGCCTTTGGCCACATTATATCATAATCATATGCCATATTATGTTATAAAGGTGGAAAAGGCCAAGAATAATATTAGCTGCCGGTCGTCTAAGTTAATATAAGCTGTCTGGAAATTGGAGGAGACTGCAGCATAGTATGGCCTCAGGGTTTCCCACCACAACAGCTTGTAGAGACACATTTCCATACATGACATCGTACTATAAGAATCTAGATATTATACGACTGTTGATCAAAGAAACATCTCTTGGCGGTACTCAGGATTCCGGGCTCCTAACTACCAGTCAGATGCAGCAACCAGAAGAATGCCAACCCAGTACCCTCAGTATGAAGAGTCGTAGCCATCAGCCAGTCATATCACCAAAATGCCATGACAGCCACGCTTATTAAGGAAGAATATGAACCGGGCGATAGGTAGACTTATCTTATCATATTTTAAAAAAATAAAGAAAAAGAAAAATGAATCGTTAAGACCATGGTATATCGACAAAGAGAAGTAAAGGTACCTTACAAATTAATTTAAGACTTAAGATTATTCCCCGCTTTCCATTATCGTTTCTCTCTATCACGTAGAGAAGAAATTTAAGATTTGTGGGGTTGGGTGTAGAATAAACTGCAGATATATGCGTTACGGTAGGTTACTTATGGGGCTAAATTATTATATATATATTATTATCTATTAAGTTCTAATAGTCCTTATTCCATGGTCTTAACCATTCATTTTTATTTTCCTTTCTTTCATATTTTATAAAGGTGGAAAAGGTCAAGAATAATAGTAGCTGCCGGTCGTCTAAGTTAATATGAGTTTTCTGGGAATTGGCGAAGACTGTAGCATAGTGTGGCCACAGAATTACCCACCACAACACATTTGCATGCGTGACATGGCACTGTAAGAATCCACATATTATACGACTGTTGATCAGAGAAATATCTCTAGGCGCTACTCAAGAATCCGGGCTCCTAACTAGCAGACGATATTTTTACTATCCATTATTTTTGTGGGAGTTTATCTGCATATCTGCACCACACTGTCTATCTCTCTCTGTGTGTCTCTCTCTCTCTCTCTCTCTCTATATATATATATATATATATATATATATATATATATATATATATATATATATATGTATGTTTGTATATGTGTGTGTGTATATAAATTGCTTAGAACCAATTGGATGTTGAAAATATTACAGGTTTTCTATGGTAGCGAATTTTCTTAAGGTTTATTTTCAGATAGTACAAACATAAATAGAGCGAAACTGTTTTTTCTATATTGCATCTTATATATTTTATGCTAGTCATTTGTCATATATATGCCGGTATAATTCTTTTGTTTAAAACTTGATACACGTATAAAGAAATGTTCTCAATATCGGAGATTGTGCCTTTGTGGACATAAATACTGCATGGCGACTATCAGTTTCACATTTTGAACAACCTTCAAAAATGACTTTCCCAATGCAATGTTGATTTATATGCCCACAGATAGATAGATAGATAGATAGATAGATAGATAGATAGATAGATAGATAGATAATGTACAGACTAAGATAGATAGATAGATAAATAGATAGATAGATAGATAGATAAAAACAAATGCGAAAATTATTATAAATTTAACATGTTCGATATTTTAGTTTCATCCATTTTTTTAATGAGTTACGGAAGAGTATATTTCGGTGTTTTGAAGACTTGCGGCAGCGGTAAAGATGTTCTACAGAAGGATGCTGAGAATATTATGGAATGAACGTTTGAGCCATAGCGAATTTTTAGAGTAAATGGAAACAAAACCGACACGTACAGATTTTACTAAGCGCTACAAAGGATGTGTGTGTGTGTGTGTGTGTGTGTGTGTGTGTGTGTGTGTGTGTGTGTGTGTGTGTGTGTGTGTGTGTGAATTTAGTGGGTATCACGTGCATCTGTAAAATGAGTTAAGTAAATACGCAAGGATATGTCTTCCCACAAGACCTATTCACCCTATACAGTGAGACCATTCTGAGGAGATTAGATTTCCAACCAGAAATCATTATTAGCGGCTACAATCTTAAGAACAAGAGATACACAGAAAATACAGTGTTGATGGCAGATGCTCAGTGGAACCTACAAGGACTTCTACAGAAGGTTGTAAAGGAAAGCGAGAGGAAAGGACTAAATGCAAAAAGACTGAATGCATAACTGTTAGCGAAAGGAACAACCCGACTTACAAATTACAATTTGGAGAAACCGAAGTATAATAATCTGGCAAGTGGAAAGTGTGACACTGAAAACAGAAGACTCATTGGGACAGCGAAACATGCCTTTACAGAGGAAATCAAAGTATTAAGAAACCGAAAACATCGTTAAAAACAAAGAAAAGTGTACTGAACTGACATGTAATATCAGTCCTCCTATATTGCAGTGAATGCTGGACAATCTACTCAAAAATAAAGAAGATTCTTGAACTAAATTTTAAAGAAAATGGTAACAAAAGAAATGCATAATATCAGGAAGAAACACTTGAAATTTCTAAAGCACATAATGAAGAAAGATGGCTTAGAAAATTTGATACTCACAGGACAAATCAAAAGCAAGAGAGACAGAGGAAAAACGCATAACTTACCTGTAGAGCTTGAGTAAATGGATGGCGTAGCAGGGTTTGTGAGAGATGGCGAAAAAACAAAATCTATTGGAAGATACAAAGGACAGGAGGTTGGGAAGAGCTATGATCGTCAACGCCTTGAAGGTATAGAAGAAGAAGATGATAGTGTCTCTCTATGTGTTTAATTCCTGAAGATGATAGTAAGAAGAAATTGGAATGCATAAGTATATGTGCCTGTATCAATTTTTGTAGTTGGGCTTGTAGTTGCTAAGAATATCAATGCGTGTGTTGACTCTGGTTTAAATGCATATTACAATTAAAGTAAATTTTATTGTTGAATCGAGAAATCGTTGGTGTATAGTGAGGATGGATATATAAATACAGTTATAAACTAATTGAAACAAATTTTCTTTTACCATAAATTTTAGATCCACGAGTGGAACAGTGTGTATCGATTTCTGGTTTTTACTCAGATTATAACATTTGCAGTAGTGTGCAGCAATATGAATCTCTTTTGGGGTGTATGATGAAAGTTGTTTGGTCTTGAAAAATACTGAGTCATCCGTGATTGCATCAAATTTTTATCCTGCCAAGACACTATTGTCTCGACTGTCGATTAGTTGTCCGGCTATGTTTGCGATTGACGTTACTCCAAGCGTACGAAAATTGTAACGCTGCAGAAACACACTGGCAAGCCTTACCAGTGATCAAATCCAAGTAAACTCTCCTAATTTAAGTCTAATCGAAAATCTGTGGTCAGTCTGCAACGAACAAATTTGTAGAATGGATATAACATGTGCTAACATGTGCACGGCGGTTTGTTTCATTGGAAAAATACGAAATAAAAGTAAATAATAACGAAATTATTCGTTTTGTTTCAATTAATTTGCACAAGGGTGTAAGTGTGAGTTTTGGTGAATGTTATTTTTATTATTATTATTACATAATAGTTTGAGTACATTGGGAGATATTTGGTGTGTTGGGGGGTGCCTTAGCGTATTTTGGGGTTGTCTACTGAGCATTCAAAGGGAATGTCTAAAAATTATAAATGTTGGTGATCTGATGATTGATTGATTCATTCATTCATTTTCTACGGTTTACTAACCCTTTGCAGGTTATTTAAAGCCAGAACATATTTTTAGATTGTAAGATAATGATTCAGTGATAATAATTAATCTATAGGTGGGGAGAGAAGAAGAGATAGATCGATACGTTTTCCAAATATATTTCCGCGTATGTGAATATAACGAACACAACTGGAATTGGAACTCGGTTCTCCGATTAACAATTCCGTTCCACTACACCACCCACCTATCTAAGCCTACAGCACACAGTATTCTCAAACGGTCACCCATCTAGCTTCTGACCGATCTCGACGTTGCTTAGATTCAATGATCCTACGGGAACTGGTGTTTCAATGTGATATGGCTATAAGCCTCTTGGTGATATGTAAAATGCGTTTAATTTGTGTTTATTTATGATTTTGATTAATATTCCATCTAGATATTTTCTACGTAATACTTTCTGTTCTTTTTTTATTATGATGGATTTTTTAATCAAAATTTAGATATTTTTATTATTGTTATAAGCAGAGATAGATAGATAGATAGATAGATAGATAGATAGATAGATAGATAGGTTAGTAATTATTAATTAGTATATGCAGAGTGTCCATAAAGTTCGTGAGCACTTTAAAAAATTTATAACTTTATTTGTATTTGCGATAGAAAGAATCTGTAAAAAATGTTATAAAGTTTCATGTACCTAATTTTAAGTATAGCTAAAATAACTAATGTGATTCTGCATCTCGTGTCTTCAATCAGATAGTCAATGTACAGCTTTGGTCGACCTTGTGTTCTTTTTACATGGGATAGGATCCAGCGTAGAAAGCCTCCAGCTAGTTCTTCTTTTCTATGCCAACAGTGACCAGCAAGTATTTATTGGCGTATTAATTTGCTGATGGAAAGATATGTTGCCATAGATCTCTTTCTTTGTTACGTGATCTTTCCAGGATTTGTTTAGTGCTGCTCGAAGCATTCGTGTGTAAGCATCATTTAACCCCTTTTCCTGATTGGCTGTTGGTATCCAGGTTAAGGACCCATATACAAGAACAGACTCTGCTGTAGCTCTGAAAAGGCTTCTCTTCAGGTTTCCCGGTAGATTTGATTCCCAGATTTTGTTAATCTCATTAAGCGCTCACCAACCTTTTTCCCCAGCCTAATATTGACATCATTCTCAGTGGTGGCAATATATCTACCCAGGTATTTGAAGTCATCTACTTGCTTCATTTTTTTCTCGGTTCATGCCTGTCGCTGTATCTTGATTCAGGCAGATGAACTCTGTTTTACCTGCATTGACAAAGGCTGCGTCATTTAGATTGTCAGCCAGTATCGCTAGATCGTCAGCATGTTCGGTACCAGAGAGATTTACTGAATTAATATGTTGTAAGAAAATTAGAGGACGAAGCAAATGCAGATTATGAGGTCTAAGAGGTTAATATTAGTGATCAGGGATGCCTCGACTTAGGGGTTGTCGCACAAACAAGCTGAGTGGAATATTGTTTTCCCAATGGAATACTAAGGTAATTAGTTCGACCCTGTGTAGTTAGATTAGCAGAACTTTGGCTTTAATATCTGAACTAGTAGAACTAATGAATTTAGCTCGTTAGAACATATGGCATGAAAATACAGTAGAATTCTTTAATTTTTTTAAACGAAAGATACTTTTTAACTCTGCGTACGTTATTGAAATCGTCATAGCATTCAGCTGAATGCTGGCTTTCTTTCCATAAAACCGACAACCTTTTCAATATCTTTCTTCATTTTCAGTCCAAGTTTCATCACGATCATGCATCCCGTCGCTATATTGTTGCAGATGTGTCTCGTTGCCATGCTTACCTTTTATTTCCATCAATCATCTTTTGAGCCAATATAAGCCATTCGGATGAAATAAGCATAAGCAATTATCCAAAGTCAATTTCCTGCAAAACAGAAATTTCAAATCAGTTACATATTACTCACGTAGTTCAGACAGTGACATCATGTCCGGATATGCGGGATTCCAGATATGAGGCACTCCGGATATTACGGATTCCGGATATGAGAAATTCCGGATATGACGGATTCTACTCTACAGACACAGTAATAACAGAATTGTGAGTTTTCATCTGAGTGAAAATGATTGTAGGGCGGAAAATATGTCATACCCTAGAAGTCCAAGTAAATAGTTTTGAAATCTGTCAGGGATAGACAGGTTTATAGGTCATTTAATGCCGCAATTTTATTTTATTGTGACCTTTATTATTTTATTTTTCCCCAAAAAATGTATTGCTGCTAATTTTTCTTTTTTTTTTTTACTATGAAAATATAATACTGGGAAACTTTTGTAATGTATTTTTATAGTTTCATGTTTTGACACCATTTTAAGAGAGCACTATTTATCCACCTTGGCTTAGGGTGGACCAAGGAACAATAGCAATTAAGAGGTGGTTCCACACTCCTTAGAACCTCCTGATCAAAGGCCTTGCTACCTGATGTAGTTTATCATCATACCCAGGACGGACCGAACGTGTATACTATATCAAGACTGGACAGTAAACCCTTCATTTTTCCCTCTCAGGTCTGATTATTTTATATAAACGCACTTTATACTTTCATACTGCTTGATCCCAGTTTGGGGGTTAACTATTTGCCGATAGCTCGGACCCTAACAGGTGCTACCACCTTGCGTCATGGTGGGCCTGTGCACAATAAAAATTAAGAGGTGGTTCCACACTCCTGAAAAACCTGCTGATCAGAGGCCTTGATGCCGGATGTAGTTTATCGTCATAACCAGGACGAGGCTGGAAAGTGATGATTGGGTAGCTCCAGCTCATTTTAGACGGCGATACGCAACATTTTTGCCTGATCTGATTCTTTTAAACATAGAGCATATATCAGAAGTAATCAAGTAAATTCTGGAGCGCACAATCAACCAACCATTTTTCCAACGTCTTTAACAATGGATGCTATTGTAGTGCCACGCCTACATTTTCTCCGATTCTAATTGGTCAATAAATACATACTAAAAATAATAGGACAATTTATCTACCGCATTTTACAATACTGAATTTTTTCCTACACTTTGTTCAAAAACAAGCTTTGCTATAAAATCGCTGCTTGGTCCATTTTTTGTCCAATGGGATATTTTTCATGTATATTCAAAAATATATCCAGCGTCTGTGCTGGGAGCCACCCTATGTAATATAAATATTGGATGCATTACAAAAAAAACAGTTAGTAGTAGTTCCAGAACCACAGTCGAGTGTACCCAGAAACAATAGATCTCATCTACTCACTCGTGTATTTCATCCTACTCACTCCGCACGGACATACACACAATAGAAAACTTTATTTGATACACCACCAGTTCTCAGTTGACATACCAAGTTAAATCATCTCTGTAAGTTGCAACAAGTGAACAATTTTCTAAAAGAAATATTCTATTTTCAACATTGAACTCTGAACATTTTACTCAGACAAATCTTCCTTAAAACATTTCCTTACAGTTAAAGGGAAGCTACTTTTCCCTTTTTAATCATATTGCAACTACTTTGTATTATTGTTGAATTTTAATATACATATATTTATTCGTTAAAACAAAATTGGTTCTCATTGTTTTTTCCTTGATAATTTAAATATTATATATGAATGTTTATTGCCTTTCTCAACACGCAGCCATATTGATCTATTTAACCACTTCAACATTGGTGACTACAAAACTCAAGAAGCAAGCATTCTACACTATATATGAGATCGGGAGTGAAATTGAATCACAATAAACATTCAACACGAGGTGCTTTATTGAGAGATGCTTTATTCATAATAACTGGAGAAAATTCATGGTCCGCAGAGTATTCACATCTTCATTGCCATATTCACAACGTTTCGACCGTTGTACTCCCCGGCCTTATTCAGGATCTGTCTATATCTCTGAGATGAGGTATTATGATTACTTGCATTATTTACATTATTGGGATTGTTATCCTCATCGACTTTGCCATATTCACTATTCACAACATTTCGGCACTTGTACGCTCGGCCTTCTTCAGGATTTGTCTATATCTCTGAGGGATTTGGCCGAAAATGGAGTATTGTTCTCATATATATATAATTGCTTATATAAATTATATGATATGTATATAATTGTGTATAATTTTATATATCAACAAACAGTATTTAGAAAAATATGACGACTGGAAAGTTTCTTGTGGTGCGTTTCATTGGACTGGACTTTGTTGACGGTTCGTGCGCATGTGCAGACGTGGCAACGTCAACAAAGCCCAGTCCGATGAAATCCTAACAGATGAAACGCGTCACAAAAGATCGTTCCAGTTTGTCCTATATATATATATATATATATATATATATATATATATATATGTGTGTGTGTGTGTGTGTGTGTGTGTGTGTGTGTGTGTGTGTGTGTGTTTTCTTCACCTGTTTTTACTAGTGTAGTCAAAAAGTCGTTAGAGGGCGCTGTCAAAGAACATTAAACACGGGACACTTCCCGTCTTTCTCTCTTTCTTTTCTGTCCAGCATGCTGAAGCGACATCAACAAGACCTTGTTTCCTGGCATGGGGAAACGTTTCTGCCTTAGTGTCAAAACATTCACACACACACACACATACAGACACACACTGATTCGTGTATTGCCCACACAATTCCTTGTTTGCAATGACTTTCTTCTTTCACAAAAATACTAATGTATTTTTTCTTTGCTAATCAGTTATATAGAAAGAATATTATAAAATATCTTCTTGTGAAATTAATTTCTTTCTTTACACCTGTCATTTACTTGGCAAAATATGATTGCTGCTGCTTTTAGTCTAGCTGGGAATAGCAGTGCAAAAGTTTGTTGATTGGAAGATCCACATAGTGAGAAATATATTATTTTATATATATATATATATATATATATATATATATATATATATATATATATATATATATATATACGACTATTACTGATAATAATAATACATTTTGCTCCTCATCGTTTGGTAAATACACATGGAGACCTTTCAAACTCCATCCGAAACCTAACTGTAGGAAATGCAAATATAAATAACCTAATCCACATGTTAAAAAAAGCTAAAATTAATGGAACCTATAATAATAAAAAACAAAAAGCCAACACTCAATAACACCAACTCTGCATACGGCCATAATATGTTGACCATGTTTGGGGAATAATAACATTAAAAACACCCTATCACTCCAAATGTACAGGGTGCGATGGATAATTTGTGGTCTAAATTACGCAAAAATGAAAAAATCATTGAGATTTCATTTTAACAGATATATTTACCAAAATTGCACAAAAATAGTTAAGAGTAAATTTATTCAACAAAGTCGCCATTGGCCTCATCCACAGCCTTCAGACTACACCGGAATCTCCTGCAACTCTTCTGGACGGGCTCTTGTTTAAGTTGATAAATCCTTGCCTTCAGTTCAACTTTGGTGTTACAAGGAGTTTTGTTGGTCTCTAGCTCAACTGTGCCCCACACATAATAATAAAGGGAGTTGCAGTCTGGAAAGATAGGAGGTCAGATGTAAGAGATGATCTGATCGCAAAAATTGTCTTAAAGCCATGACTGAGTTCTCCTGCTTGTGTAGCATGGTGCAGTGTCCTGTTGCCAGACATAGGGTCTTCCAGCAGCCACCCTCTTGACCCAGGACAACACTACCTCCTCAAGGTATTTGATGTAGGCCTCTGTGTTGAGTCTGAGACCCTCACCAAAAAATTCGGGAGTTCTTTTCTTATAAGAATGGTTAGAGTGAGATTTCCGAACTGCTCGAAGTTCGTAATCACCATTAGACTTATCCAACTCTTTCTGAATCCTCTTCACTCTCCTCAAACTGACACCCAAGCACTCTGAAATGTTCATATTGAATACTAAGCAACATAGCAGACTTTTTCCAAAATTCAGGCGGAGTGAATTGCATCATGGTACTCTTTTTCTTACAGACGATGTCCAGCTGACCCTCACTATACTGTGCAGTCGACAAAATCAAAACCAAACAACATGTATACGCGAAATTAAAATATAAAATGGTGACTCATCGCAAATTTTATATCGAAAAATCTAAACATTCAGCTAAAATTTAAAATAAAGAAACATCCTTGAAAACAGCTTGTAGAATAACCGAAAGCGCTTTTTAACACTTTTATTTCCAGAAAAGAAATCACTTACACGAACACAAGAGTAACCGAATAAAATGCTTAAACGCAATATATTTCAGTAGTCTTTAATGTAAATTGCATAAAAGAGTGTTTGCTGCCAAAATACACAATTATATATATATGTTATGGTACGGTTTCTTGTACCACGGTGATAATCCAAGGTAGAACCAATAAAGAAGAACTCGAAGGCGGATATGGAATAACACAGATATATTACAAACATGAATATATACAGAGAGGTAGAAAGGTGTTAGTACGAACAATCAGGTTTAGTAGTAATTGTCTAAACGCGACTCTGTTTCGGACTGCCTCTGACTCGACTGACTGACTCACTCTGACTGACTGACAGACTCCTGACGGACTTCAATTCAGACGGAAAGATATTCAGTCACCCTCCCACGAGGGCGTCATGTGGCACAAGGCCTTTTTAACGTGGGATTTACGAGCCCGGGGGCTCGGCCAAAAATATGCCCATTGAACCCGTATAAACGGGTTCAGGGTCGGTTTACCTCCCCGAAAGAGAATCCGCCTTCAGCGTAGCCTTTTTCGGGTTCCTCCCTGCCCGAAAGCAGAGAGTTCAACCGATCATCCGGTCGCCCTATTTCGGACTGAACGATGTTCAGTCACCCCCCCCCACGAGGCCGTCATGTGGCACAAGGCCTTTTTAACGTGAGAACACCGAGCCCTTGAGGTCGGCCAAAAATATGAACATTGAACCCTTATAAACGGGTTCTGGGTCGGTTTACCTTACCGAAAGAGAATCCGCCCTTCGGCGTAGCCTTCTTCTGGTTCCTGCCCGCCCGAAGGCAGAGAGTTCAACCGATCCGCCGATCAGCCGCTCGCACGACTTCGGACTGTGCTCCCTGCTTCCACTTGAGGCGCAGTATTTATTACGTATGGAATAGTCCATTATGTTATTATGGGTAAGGTCCCATAACAATATATATATCAGTAAGTATGTATTCGCAGTTTTGCAATATTACACATACACACATATATGTATATATAAATATAAATATGCATATTTATAAAATATTTATTTGTGATATACATATATATATGTGTGTGCGTGCGTGCGTGCGTATATGTATATTTATAAATATAAATACACACACACACACATATATATATATATATATATATATATATATATATATATATATATATATATATATATATATATATATATATATATATGTATCTAAACATGCATGTTTATTAGTAAAAGCGAACAGATTGGGTATGTTATTGTTTTTATAGCTCGTTCCCCTTCGTCGCAATATTTGTCTCGGGTCAACCTATAAAGAAAGTAGTCTCTGGGCGTGTAAATGAATCCAAGAACGACATTTCCCACACTCGTGTCGACACGAACATGAAAAGCACGGTCTTGATAGCGGACGAGATGGCTTCGGACATCAGCGAAAGTAATGTGTTTATCTCGGTGGGTTGTCGACCATAATGGAAGATCGACTCCAGTGGACAGGCGCCAGCTGAAACGTTGTGGACAGCGCAACCTGATTTCCGACTTTCCAGATTTAATTTGATTTCGTCTTCGGATAGGTTTTATACCGAATAGAAACAAAGAAAAAGAGTTCTGAATGGTTATGCAATATTGGTCATCTTATGTGGCAGCGAAAGCTGGACAATCTCACACATGAGGAGGAGACGAGGCAACAGAAAGGTAGTTCTACAGAAGGATGCTCAGAATACGATGGATTAAAATTATGTTTAAAGAGAAAGCTTTTAAGAAATGGAAACAAAAAGGACGCTTTTACCTAGAATCAGAAAGACAAAATGAGAAAAGAAGGCTGGGAAAATTTGATGCCTGAAAAAACATCTCAGCGAATAGAGGTTGGCAGAACCGGGATTAGAAGGGATATCAAAATAACAAACCTTACTAAAAGCTACAAAGGACAAGAAGTTGTGGAGAGCCATGATCGTCACATCATGAAGGAGCATAACACATAGAAGAAAAACAACAACAAACACAATATTCGAACTTATGTAAATGTTTGGCAAAATAGGGATGAAGAATTTTTTAAAAATACAAACTTTACTAAAAGCCAAAAAAGGAAGTTGTGGAGAGTCATGATCGCTACGTCTTAAAGAAGCACAATACATAGAAGTAGTACAAGCTTCGAGCTTGTGTAAATGGCTGACCGGACAGGGAAAATGTTAAATGTCATTCAGTTAAACATGGTTCAAGTGTTTAAAAACGGCTAAAAGTCCAATGTTTAGCTGCCTGAATAAATACAAATGATTTCTTACATGTTTACAACCAAATTCTGATTAAAATGTTCATTTAAAATTTTCGTTTTAAAGATTTCAACTAGTGAATATATCTTACTTTGCAAAGCGAAAGCGAGCGGGAGAATCCTACTTGTAATTGAATAAATGAATGGCAATCGTGGCAACAAACAGACACAAACCTAAGTACTTTTTATCCTGATACGATCTAGGACAAAAAGTAAGGAACCTCATCACACCACACCGATGTAGGTGTATGTAGTCTTATAGTATGTATGTAGCTTTGGTGTTAGTATGATAATTAGTATATATATATATATATATATATATATATATATATATATATATATTTTTTTTTTTTTTTTTTTTGTTTGGAAGTAAAGACTGATGATCCGCAGTCTTTTAAAAGGGCTGTGGTGAAATAATTTATTACATGGAACATTAAAGTGGTCTGTTTTTATTTAAATAATATATATATATATATATATATATATATATATATATATATATATATATATATATATATATATATATTGAATACTCATATTTGAGTAGATGCTCCGTTTATTTAGTAAAGAGAATCTACCCGCCTGAATATTCTTGGAGAAAAATATGCGCTCTCCGGCAGAATTCGAACCTGCATTCCCTAGATCGGACGTGAACTGAACTCTCAGCTACAGTAATAAAAATTTCTCGGATTATTAAATAATATAATTGTCGTATGGAACCCATATTTCCTCGACCTCTTATGATATATTTAAGGAAGGTTTAGCTAGAAATTATACATTCGAGTCGATATAACAGATAGAAAGACAAACTACAGAAAGATTAATACCAGTAGAATGAGATATACGTAACATGAAATAAATACGAACTAAACGATATATATATATATATATATATATATATAGAGAGAGAGAGAGAGAGAGAGAGATTTAGATATAAACTGGTTGAAAAATAAGGAAAGAAAGAGAGTGATTGAGATAGATAGATAGATAGATAGATAGATAGATTATCAACAGACTGAGATATGAACATTGATAAATATAAACCGACTGAGAAAGAAAGAAAGACACAGATATATATATATATATATATATATATATATATATATATATATATATATATATATATATATATATATATATATATAGAGAGAGAGAGAGAGAGAGAGAGAGATAAACTGGCTGAACAATAAGGAAAGAAAAGAAAGAAAGAGTGAGATAGATAGATAGATAGATAGATAGATAGATAGATGGATAGATAGATACTGTTTTAACAGTATATGTAGGAAAGCTAGAATTAAGAGAAAGTGGAAATAAATTTTAGATAGGTACAAAACGACTGATATACATACATACATATGAAAATGTGGCGGGGTTAAAATGATATGAAAACAAAGAAACAGTCGTCAATGAAATTAAATAAAAAAAAAAGCGGGAAAATGTAGAAAAATTGGGAAACAGAGAAACAAATAATTTCAAGTAACAAAAATTTAATCGAAAAATAAGAAACACAAATTTTGAAAGAATAAAAAAGAGAAAATAAAGTGATACAAAACACCTGACTGTTAATTCCAAAGATATCCACGTTGTAAACAAAATAGAAATATACTCACTTGCCAAAATCCTATACATTACAGTACCCCATGTAATCAATGCAGGGTCTCGACGTGGCATCGACAATTGGTAGGATGGCTTATGAAGAGTTATGACGTTTCGATACCTGTTCTCAACTGTTTCATGTGTGGCCTCATGCTTGCGATTAGTCCTTTCGGGAATTTTGTGTAACTTAAGCCCAATGACGAATTGTATTATCCTGCTAGTATAACCCATAGTTCTTAAGATACATGGAGTTCATGAAAGACTGCAAATCGTCACAAAGCACTGGAAGGTCGCGTATATCGGTCAATGTCAGTCTCAAATCAAGACCCGAGAGGACACTCAATACCATTAGTGTTATGGTCCAGGTTAGGGCCAAGGAAACAACACGAAACATAAGAGTAGAAATAACGAAAGTATATTACACGAAATAATAATACAAGATGTGGAAGGTGTTAGTATGACTGTCAGTCTGGTTTGGAGTGAAATAATATCAGCTCGACTCGATTCCCACTGTTATGGTGCAGGTTAGGAGAAGGAAGAACAACACGAACACAAAGTAGACATAACAACACGAAATAATACAAGATGTGGAAGGTGTTAGTATGACTATCAGTCTGGTTTGGAAAATACTATCGGTTCGACTCGATTCCACTGTTATGGTCCATTAGGACCACAACACGAACACAAGAGTAAAAATAATAATACAAGATGTGGAAGGTGTTAGTATGACTGTCAGTCTGGTTTGGAGTGAAATACTATCGGCTCGACTCGATTCCCACTGTTATGGTCCAGGTTAGGACCAAGGAAGAACAACACGAACACAAGAGTAGAAATAACGAAGGTATATTACACGAAATAATAATACAAGATGTGGAAGATGTTAGTATGACTGTCAGTCTGGTTTGGTGTGAAATGCTATCAGTTCGACTCGATTCCCACTGTTATGGTCCAGGTTAGGACCAAGGAAGAACAACACGAACACAAGAGTAGAAATAACGAAGGTATATTACACGAAATAATAATACAAGATGTGGAAGGTGTTAGTATGACTGTCAGTCTGGTTTGGAGTGAACTACTATCGGCCGACTCGATTCCCACTGTTATGGTCCAGGTTAGGAGCAAGGATAAAACAACACGAACACAAGAAAAATAACGAAGGTATATTACAAAATAATAATACAAGATGTGGAAGATGTTAAGTATGACTGTCACAAATACTATCGGTTCGACTCGATTCCCACTGTTAAATTAACAAGGAAGAACAACACGATTACAAGGTATATTACGAAATAATAATACAAGATGTGGAAGGTGTTAGTATGACTGTCAGTCAGGTTTGGAGTGAAATACTATCGGCTCGACTCGATTCCCACTGTTATGGTCCAGGTTAGGACCAAGGAAGAACAACACGAACACAAGAGTAGAAATAACGAAGGTATATTACACGAAATAATAATACAAGATGTGGAAGATGTTAGTATGACTGTCAGTCTGGTTTGGAGTGAAATACTATCAGTTCGACTCGATTCCCACTGTTACGGTCCAGGTTAGGACCAAGGAAGAACAACACGAACACAAGAGTAGAAATAACGAAGGTATATTACACGAAATAATAATACAAGATGTGGAAGGTGTTAGTATGACTGTCAGTCTGGTTTGGAGTGAACTACTATCGGCTCGACTCGATTCCCACTGTTATGGTCCAGGTTAGGAGCAAGGAAGAACAACACGAACACAAGAGTAGAAATAACGAAGGTATATTACACGAAATAATAATACAAGATGTGGAAGATGTTAGTATGACTGTCAGTCTGGTTTGGAGTGAAATACTATCGGTTCGACTCGATTCCCACTGTTATGGTCCAGGTTAGGACCAAGGAAGAACAACACGAACACAAGAGTAGAAATAACGAAGGTATATTACACGAAATAATAATACAAGATGTGGAATGACTGTCAGTCTGGTTTGGAGTGAACTACTATCGGCTCGACTCGATTCCCACTGGTCCAGGTTAGGAGGAAGAACAACACGAACACAAGAGTAGAAATAACGAAGGTATATTACACGAAATAATAATAAGATGTGGAAGATGTTAGTATGACTGTCAGTCTGGTTTGGATGAAATACTATCGGTTCGACTCGTTATGGTCCAGGTTAGGACCAAGGAAGAACAACACGAACACAAGAGTAGAAATAACGAAGGTATATTACACGAAATAATAATACAAGATGTGGAAGGTGTTAGTATGACTGTCAGTCTGGTTTGGAGGAACTACTATCGGCTCGACTCGATTCCCACTGTTATCGTCCAGGTTAGGACCAAGGAAGAACAACACGAACACAAGAGTAGAAATAACGAAGGTATATTACACGAAATAATAATACAAGATGTGGAAGATGTTAGTATGATTGTCACTGGTTTGGAGTGAAATACTATCGGTTCGACTCGATTCCCACTGGGTCCAGGTTAGGAGTATATTACACGAAATAATAATACAAGATGTGGAAGATGTTAGTATGACTGTCAGTCTGGTTTGGTGTGAAATACTCGATTCCCCACTGTTATGGTCCAGGTTAGGACCAAGGAAGAACAACACGAACACAAGAGTAGAAATAACGAAGGTATATTACACGTAATAATACAAGATGTGGAAGGTGTTAGTATGACTGTCAGTCTGGTTTGGAGTGAACTACTATCGGCTCGACTCGATTCCCACTGTTATGGTCAGGTTAAGAAGAAGAACAACACGAACACAGAGTGTAACGGATATTACACAGGATGTGGAAGATGTTAGTATGACTGTCAGTCTGGTTTGGAGTGAAATACGATCGGTTCGACTCGATTCCCACTGTTATGGTCCAGGTTAGGACCAAGGAAGAACAACACGAACACAAGAGTAGAAATAACGAAGGTATATTACACGAAATAATAATACAAGATGTGGAAGGTGTTAGTATGACTGTCAGTCTGGTTTGGAGTGAAATACTATCGGTTCGACTCGATTCCCACTGTTATGGTCCAGGTTAGGACCAAGGAAGAACAACACAAACACAAGAAGAAATAACAACACGAAATAATAATACAAGATGTGGAAGGTGTTAGTATGACTGTCAGTCTGTTTTGGAAACTACTATCGGCTCGACTCGATTCCCACTGTTATGGTCCAGGTTAGGACCAAGGAAGAACAACACGAACACAAGAGTAAAATAACGAAGACACGAAATAATAATACAAGATGTGGAAGATGTTAGTATGACTGTCAGTCTGGTTTTGGAGTGAAATACTATCGGTTCGACTCGATTCCCACTGTTATGGTCCAGGTTAGGACCAAGGAAGAACAACACGAACACAAGAGTAGAAATAACGAAGGTATATTACACGAAATAATAATACAAGATGTGGAAGGTGTTAGTATGACTGTCAGCCTGTTTTGGAGTGAACTACTATCGGCTCGACTCGATTCCCACTGTTATGGTCCAGGTTAGGACCAAGGAAGAACAACACGAACACAAGAGTAGAAATAACGAAAGTATATTACACGAAATAATAATACAAGATGTGGAAGGTGTTAGTATGACTGTCAGTCTGGTTTGGAGTGAATTACTATCGGCTCGACTCGATTCCCACTGTTATGGTCCAGGTTAGGTCAAGGAAGAACAACACGAACACAAGAGTAGAAATAACGAAGATATTACACGAAATAATAATACAAGATGTGGAAGGTGTTAAGAACTACTATCGGCTCGACTCGAACACATGGTCCCGGAGTTAGGAGCAAGAAGAACAAACACAAGAGTAATAACGAAGGTATATTACACGAAATAATAATACAAGATGTGGAAGGTGTTAGTATGACTGTCAGTCTGGTTTGGAGTGAATTACTATCGGCTCGACTCGATTCCCACTGTTATGGTCCAGGTTAGGACCAAGGAAGAACAACACGAACACAAGAGTAGAAATAACAAATGTATATTACACGAAATAATAATACAAGATGTGGAAGATGTTAGTATGACTGTCAGTCTGGTTTGGAGTGAAATACTATCGGTTCGACTCGATTCCCACTGTTATGGTCCAGGTTAGGAGCAAGGAAGAACAACACGAACACAAGAGTAGAAATAACAAATGTATATTACACGAAATAATAATACAAGATGTGGAAGATGTTAGTATGACTGTCAGTCTGGTTTGGTGTGAAATACTATCGGTTCGACTCGATTCCCACTGTTATGGTCCAGGTTAGGACCAAGGAAGAACAACACGAACACAAGAGTAGAAATAAGTGAAAGTATATTACACGAAATAATAATACAAGGTGTTAAGGTGTTAGACTGACTGTCAGTCTGTTTTGGAGGAAATACTATCGGTTCGACTCGATTCCCACTGTTATGGTCCAGGTTAGGACCAAGGAAGAACAACACGAACACAAGAGTAGAAATAACGAAGGTATATTACACGAAATAATAATACAAGATGTGGAAGGTGTTAGTATGACTGTCAGTCTGGTTTGGAGTGAACTACTATCGGCTCGACTCGATTCCCACTGTTATGGTCCAGGTTAGGACCAAGGAAGAACAACACGAACACAAGAGTAGAAATAACGAAAGTATATTACACGAAATAATAATACAAGATGTGGAAGGTGTTATGACTTCTGGTTTGGAGTTATATCAGCTCGACTCGATTCCCACTCCAGGTTAGGACCAAGGAAGAACAACACGAACACAAGAGTGGTTTGGATGTGAAGATACTATCGGTTCGACTCGATTCACACTGTTATGGTCCAGGTTAGGACCAAGGAAGAACAACACGAACACAAGAGTAGAAATAACGAAGGTATATTACACGAAATAATAATACAAGATGTGGAAGGTGTTAGTATGACTGTCAGTCTGGTTTGGAGTGAACTACTATCGGCTCGACTCGATTCCCACTGTTATGGTCCAGGTTAGGACCAAGGAAGAACAACACGAACACAAGAGTAGAAATAACGAAGGTATATTACACGAAATAATAATACAAGATGTGGAAGGTGTTAGTATGACTGTCAGTCTGGTTTGGAGTGAACTACTATCCGTTCGACTCGATTCCCACTGTTATGGTCCAGGTTAGGACAGGAAGAACAACACGAACACAAGAGTAGAAATAACGAAGGTATATTACACGAAATAATAATACAAGATGTGGAAGATGTTAGTATGACTGTCAGTCTGGTTTGGAAAATACTATCGGTTCGACTCGATTCCCACTGTTATCGTCCAGGTTAGGACCAAGGAAGAACAACACGAACACAAGAGTAGAAATAACGAAGGTATATTACACGAAATAATAATACAAGATGTGAAGGTGTTAGTATGACTGTCAGTCTGGTTTGGAGTGAATTATCGGTTCGACTCGATTCCCACTGCCAGGTAAGGACCAAGGAAGAACAACACGAACACAAGAGTCGAAATTCAAGATGTGGAAGGTGTTAGTATGACTGTTATGACTCGATCCAGTTATTGTCCAGGTTAGGACCAAGGAAGAACAACACGAACACAAGAGTAGAAATAACGAAAGTATATTACACGAAATAATAATACAAGATGTGGAAGGTGTTAGTATGACTGTCAGTCTGGTTTGGAGTGAATTACTATCGGCTCGACTCGATTCCCACTGTTATCGTCCAGGTTAGGACCAAGGAAGAACAACACGAACACAAGAGTAGAAATAAGTGAAAGTATATTACACGAAATAATAATACAAGATGTGGAAGGTGTTAGTATGACTGTCAGCCTGTTTTGGAGTGAAATACTATCGGTTCGACTCGATTCCCACTGTTATGGTCCAGGTAAGGACCAAGGAAGAACAACACGAACACAAGAGTAGAAATAACGAAAGTATATTACACGAAATAATAATACAAGATGTGGAAGGTGTTAGTATGACTGTCAGCCTGTTTTTGGAGGAAATACTATCGAAATAATCGATTCCAAGGTCATGTGGAAGAACAACACGAACACAAGAGTAGAAATAACGAAAGTATATTACACGAAATAATAATACAAGATGTGGAAGGTGTTAGCCTGTCAGTCTGGTTTGGAGTGAAATACTATCGGCTCGACTCGATTCCCACTGTTATGGTCCAGGTTAGGACCAAGGAAGAACAACACGAACACAAGAGTAGAAATAACGAAAGTATATTACACGAAATAATAATACAACATGTGGAAGGTGTTAGTATGACTGTCAGTCTGGTTTAGAGTGAATTACTATCGTCAGATCTGGTTTTAGGACCAAGGAAGAATTAATAATACAAGATGTGGAAGGTTTTATCTGTCAGCCTGTTTTGGAGTGAAATACTATCGACTCGATTCCCACTGTTATGGTCCAGGTAAGGACCAAGGAAGAACAACACGAACACAAGAGTAGAAATAACGAAAGTATATTACACGAAATAATAATACAAGATGTGGAAGGTGTTAGTATGACTGTCAGTCTGGTTTAGAGTGAACTACTATCGGCTCGACTTAATTCGTCCCTCTCTCTTGAGAGGCGTATTATACGTAGTGTTAGGAAGAGTTCATTCTGTAGTTATAGGTAAGGACCCATGACAATTACAATGTCACTACCAGACCTACACTGCGTCTTGCTGAAAAATAGGATTTACGGTCACGTAGTGTCTGCATGAAGTAGAATAACTCGAGATATTATCCATTTGAGAAGTGGTCAGGTAAGGACTGATGAGGCTTTTAATCATGTCAACAGACTCTTGATATTTCTAGATGCAGGATCTTGCATACAAATAGCCCATTGCACCATTTTCCATAAATGCTCGATTGGGCTAATGCTGAGCGAACCCTCAAGAATGTTCCATAAATTAACTCTCGGCAATTTGGGCACGATTACACAGACTGAATTGACCCATTCTTGAATGGGTGTAAATGAACGCCAAGCAGTACTACATCGGAATCACCGATCCTAGATATGTTTAAGATGGCCAGTGCAACAAACATGTTACGTCAAGTCATTCTATAACATTATGGGACATCCATCAGCCATTTGGTACTTTGGCGACAACTGCGGTTCTTGGCATCATGGATCCTACGCAACATTCAAATACTACTCTCAGAAACAAATGAAATCATAACTCACTAGATCATGCTACTAGTAGCTAATCTTCCATGGTTCAGTAAACGACGTCACCAACCCATGTTAGACGCTGTGTCTATTGACAAATTTAACAAAGATACACCGGCGGGTTATCTCCAATATCATATGGATGATAAAGAACGCTCAACTAAATAATTGGATATTCATTTGATAACTCAAATTTCGCTTCTGTTTTGCAGACAATTATCAGCACAAGCCTAGGGTCACAATCTTTAAGGACCAGTTGTCAGAAACGGCGCTGTCCTAGGTGGATGGTAGTGAATTCCAATAGGCATTTCCGGTACACACAGTAGATCGAAGAATATTAATTATCACCCCTTATTTAAGAAATGGAATGTCCCATATATTTAGTATTCACTATCATGCTCCGTTCAGACTCTGATAATGTATGTTGCCTTGCCCTGAGTAAACATATACTGAATTAACAACTGTTTTTAATCATTTCGCTCCAAGCAAGGCAATAAATCCACTAAGACGGTAGTAGTTACTGAGCTTAAAAAAATAGGAGAAAGAGAAAACATTATTAAAGCTAGATAACAATAAAAAAACTAGTAATTAAGAAGATAGAGAGGATCTCAGAAGAGGCTATGTTAGACATTTTCATGACGGTCGTCCTCGAGTATAGAATCCAGAGGTTTGCAGTGAATATTTCGGAGACAGTAGGAAAGCATAGTGGAGGTTCGCAGTGGATATCACAGCAGAGTGTAGTTCATCTTTCTCCTGGTCGCCTTTGGTCCTTCCGGTAGAGGAAACAAGATGGCCGCCTTTATACACGACGAATACAGTGTTGTGCGGCTTCTGATTGGTCAACCTTCTATTGGTCGACTATAAAGGGAAATAAGTCATTCTGACTCGCTCACTAGTTATAGGTATTATATACCCAAAAAACCGTAACAGGCTATGCCTATGGGCAGAGTCTCGTCCGTGGAGGTAGACAGCCATCCGACCCCGTGAATGCGACCCTCTACGGGGGAATGTTTGCCCGAGCGTACCCGCTTGAAAATCCTCACGGTAAAATCCGGCTTTATGGTACATCACGCCTTGTGGGGAAGACTTGGGTAAATACCGAATGAAAAAGATATAAAGATAATACTTTATCATATAAATATCAGAGAACAACTGATTGAGGGTGGGTATTTTTAAGTTGATGACAGGACTTCCTGTTTCCAAACAGGTATCTTTCAGTAATCATTGATCGAACAGCCAATTTTACTCTAAATTGAAAATTATATTATTTTTCTTAAAAACATTTTTCTTTCAGGAAATTAAATTTCTGATGACCACTTCATGTTAGAGTTCTTTAAAGTATTAATGGGAGTTTCATTCTTTTTTTTTTCTTTTTGGTAGTGTGGAATTTTAATCTACTTCGCCCATAAAGAACAATAACTCATAATAAAGAATTGAGTTACTTCCCTTGCCCGCTAGTCGGATCGAACACTTCTGAATTCAACATGGCGACAAACTGACACGTATGTGGAATTCATGGTCAGAATCCAAACTATTCTTTGCTATTCTCAAGCAGTGAATGAATAAAACATATTTTATTATGTGTTAAAATACACTTGTCTTTTATTTTCATTCGTTTTTCTTCATTCCCAACAACCTGGAATATAACAAACAGATTCATTATACAACTGCTTTTTTTTTTCTAGTTATATCCGCCTCCATGTTTTTTTTTTTTTGTTTTTTGTTTTTTTGTTTTTGTTTTTTTTTTTTGCTGCTTTTGGAAAATGTTCACGTGATATGGTTTTCGTTTTTCGCCAAATTATACGCCTCTTATTTTAAATGGCGAACCATTAATATCTGACAAATAATCGCTTTCTTTAAGATTGATTGGATTTATTCGTTTGCAACCATTTTTAACTATTCTTCTGATGAAAAAAATATGAAAGCTTACTTTTGACGATGCTGTTTAAGAACACAATTTTTCTCAATATTTTGGTTTTGTAAAAGCTGCAGAAATGTAACCCTAGCACGGACTATACTTTTCTTATCTCTTATTGTAAACGTGTCATAACTGATCTAGACACCGTGGTGTTTAAAATGTTGAGAAACTTATATTCAGCGTTCTGAATATTTATACTTGATTTCGGGTAGGTGGTGCCATGCCTCTCATTTTAATTACAGATTAAATTTATGACGTCAAAGTAGGTGATACCAATTATCATTAACTTTATATATTGTTAGTCTATGGCTTTAGGCAAGTTAGCGTATAGATTAAACTGAAAATAAGAAGGAAAATGGTCGATAAAACATTGGAACGGGTGGAAAGTAACTCTGAAAGAGATCGTGGGAGAAATACGCGGGAAAAATAAAAATGTCAGATGAAGCAGTCTAAAGGAACAAAATGATACTTCAATATGAATGCCAGAAAATAGGATGTAAAGAAAAGCGGTTAAGAGTAAAATTGACAGTACGTATGGCAGATCAATTGTCCGAATTGTGGAGAGCCTAGCAAATGTATTATTACTGTGATGTACAGAATTCAACGTGCTTTGGTGCCAAACCTACTTAGATTAATGTTACGGCATTGTGCTCTCTACAAAAATCTACGAATGAGATAGATAGATAGATAGATAGATAGATAGATAGATAGATAGATAGATAGATAGATAGATAGATAGATAGATTTACGAATGAGATAGATATATAGATAGATAGATTTAAGAATGAGATAGATAGATAGATAGATAGATAGATAGATAGATAGATAGATAGATAGATAGATAGATAGAATCCGTGAAAATATTCACGAATATTACAAACAAAATTTCCCCAGTGTCTCAGAACTTTATTCTTGTCTCCCATTTTATATCTATCTTTTCATTTCTCCCTTATTTCTTCCCAGCTGGATTAGGCTCTTATGAAAAAAATATATATATAAGAAAAGTTTTTTTATTGCAATTTTTTTTCTTATTTTATCTCAACATGGAATAATTATAAAATAGAACACGTGAGAAAATAATGTCAATGTCTCGCAATTTTTCCGTCTTTTCGTCGATAAATACCTGAAAATCATTCGAGGAAAATAAAAGAAGTCCTTTATTTCCGGATAATAATAATAATAATTCCACACTGTATATTCAACGCGGATTAAATATTACAGCTTGGCCTTCTATTCATTTGTGGCATCCCAAACTTCCAGCAACTGGTTCTATTAATGGAGAATGGAAACAAATCACTTTATAGTATCAAAATAATTAAACCATTTTGATAATTTAATCAAAAACATTTATTTATTAAGATAATTCCAGATTGAAATTCTGTTCTCATTATATTTCTGTTCGGAAGTATGATCCTTTTTGACTCTAGTGTCTTCAGCTATGATATGGTTTCTTAGCTACATTTGAACTGAATCGCTGCAGTCACAAAGATCCAATGGAAGACCTATCAAATTTAGGTCTAAAACATTTGCAATACTTTTCACTAGTCGCGAGCACGAGTATTTTTTTTTACCTAAACCATCGGCTATTAATATATAAGATAATTTTCGGATAATCCAACAAACGGCTCGCTATGCTTTTAGAAATTTAAGAATCGCTTGCGCGAACCGTTGTGAGCCTGTAGGATGCCACCATTGTTTCTATGTATGTTATGAACAAACTGAAGAATATCTTTTTTTTCCAACAAATCTTGGTCCGTGTCCTTCATTTTTCCGCAGATAAGGTTTGTTTGGTATAAGGTCAAAGGGTTACAATGTTCTAACTTGAGATAATTCGTATTTTACATCCTCGAGGCTTATCTGAATTCACTCGCCCAGTACTGGTGTCAGTCGAAAAACAAATATCGTACTTCAGCCACAAAGTACCTAATAATTACTAAACTTTGACAAAAATGGCCAGATTAAAAGAAATATGGATATAAATATTGCGTTTCTTCAAAAAGAAAGGACACATTTCCCTTGAAAATAAGCATTCAATTTCTTAAATTTAAAATGTAGCTGCCAAACCTAATTACCGAAATTCCTCGGCTACGTCCTGGGTAAGACGATACAAAACATCCAACAGCAAATCGTCTTATCAGGAGGTTTTGAAAAGCATAGAACTACTACTTAATTGCCGGTTTTCACAAGTTCATTCTGACCTGGGGTGGTAGTACTTGCTAGGGTCCCAGCTATGGGAAAATAGTTAACCTCCAAACTGAGGCAAAACACTATGAAATTGTAATAATATGTTTTAATACCAGCAATAAGTTTTTGTAAAAGAAATTACCAGCACTAAATATTTTAAGAAAAAATTATTACCAGCAATATATTTTTCAAAAAATATTAACAGCAATACATTTTAAAAAAACAAATATTACCAGCAATGCATTTTGGAAGAAAAAATATTACCAGCAATACATTTTTGAAGAAAAAATTTTACCAGCAATACATTTTTGAAGAAAAATCATTACCAGTAATATCTATTACCAAGTAATTACCAGCAATAAAAATTTTGTCGGCATTAAATAACCCATTGAGGTGGATATGGCATAAAACAAAACAGCAATGAATTTTTGAAGAAAAAATTTAACAGCAATGAAGTTTTTACGGAAAAAATTATTACGACCAATACATTTTTGATCAAAAATATTAGCAGTAATAAAAATCTTGACGGCATTAAATAACCCATTGAGGATGATATGCCGTAAAACAAAACAAACCAAAGCAAACCCAAAAAATATTTTTAGAGGGTAAAAAATTTTGGGGGAAATAATAATAATTAACTGATAAAATTCCTACTAATTAACGCATAGCTAGAGACAGGAGAAAGGATTAATTAATATCTTTAACCAGGGGATTTCGTGCAAGCGAATTTAAGAATATAACAAACCCGACTGGAATTGAAACTTGGCCTTCGGATTTCCAATTCCGTTCTATTATCCATTACACCATCCGCACATCAAAGCTTACAGCAACTGATATTCCCAAGCGGTCACTCTTCTATGTACCGAGCAGGCTCAAATGTTGTTTAATTTCAGTGATACTACGAGAACCGGTGTTTCAACATGACTCTCAAATCAGTCACATATTGAGGCAAAGACGATAAACTATATCCGCGGTCTGGGTATGACGATAAACTACATTCCACTACAAGCCCTCTGATCGGTAGTTTTTAAGGAGCGTAGAACCACCTCTTAACTGTCGGTGTTCCCAGGTCCACTATGACTCGAGTTGGCAGCACCTGTTAGGGTCCCAGCTATAGGCAAATAGTTAACTGTCAAACTGGAGTCAAAACAATATGAAAGTGTAAAAATAGATTTTGATATCAGCAATACATTTATGTAAAAAATATTACCAGCAATGAATTCCTGAAGAATTCATTCAAGAAAATTATTGCTAGCAATACATCTTTGAAAAAAATATTACAAGCAATACATTTTTGGAAAAAAATATTACCAGCAATACATTTTTGGAAAAATATTACCAGCAATTTTGTTGGAATTAAATAGCCCATTAAGGTTGATATGCCTCAAATGTTATTTATCTAAATGACCATAAAATTTTAGTTTCTGAAATTTCACTTCAAACTTAAAAGATATTTATTTAGGCAATCAATAAAGCGAGAAAATTGTCCCAATATCAGCATTAAAGTAAAATTACTGATGAAAAACAAAAATGATTTCAAAAATGTATAATTTTAATATATTTTATTGTTATACGTTATTTATATAGACACAAATATTTAAGTAAATTCTCTGATTATAATAAACAGCATTAACAACATTTACTGGCCTGAACGTACGAGAAATTCCATGAGGAGGACGCATATTTTCTATGAAAATTTCTCGGATGTTTAGGCCGGTAAATGTTGTTAATACTGTTTATTATAAACAGAGTATTTACTTAAATATTTGTGTCTATATAATTAGTGTATAACAATAAAATATATTAAAATAATTGTCGGACTTTGTCCATTTCGTAGTGTGTGACGTCATTTTTTTACGATTAGATACGCTTCGAACAGATATGAAATCAAGGAGGTTTGTAGTAAAAAAGCAGTAAAATCAACCACACAAACCGGACGCTGCTCTGTAGCTAAACTGATATAGCGTGTCAGGCTATATGACAGGGTCTGTATAGGATAAAGGATCGATTCCTGTCGGAATTTTTTTAAATTCTGAATGATAAAAAAACCTGTTCATATGTTGCTGTCGTATCAAGTCTGGTGTTCCTGCTATATATATATATATATATATATATATATATATATATATATATCGAGACTCTCAAGAAAATCCAAAGTGTTTGCAATATTATCTATTCTGACATGGCATCTCGACTTTAGTGACTTTCTCAACGCCATGACGTGGCTTCCCCGTTTTTTTGTTGTTTTTTTTTTTTTTTTTTGTCTGTAAATATTTTCATGGTAATTGTTCTAAGGGGCTTTCCTCCTTGATATGTCGACCGTATGAAGTTAAATTTACAAATAGATTAGCAACTAGGTTTCATGTTTTGACTCTTAAAATAACAAGATGTAACCGTGAGTGTTATTCTAATTATTTTTCCCACACTTCTTTCCTGTGGAAATCTCTTCTAATTTCTTGCTTCCCAGAAAGTTTAATATCAAAAAAATAAAAAGTCAACGTCAATCAGCATCTTCTGCCTTCCTGAATCAGCTACTGTTATTTTCTTTTCTCCTCATTAAGGTCACTTCAGTCTCATTCACTCTCAGTAAACTCCTGGCGTCCGTCTAACGTAATCGCTTTTCGTGGGGTGAAATGATTTTAAAAATGGTTATTAATCGTTGTCTTATATTTCTGACATGAGGTATTGTAATTATTTAAACTATTTACATTTTCCCGTCTGTTGTCCTCATTGTCGTTTCCATATTCTCGACGTTTCGCCCGTTGTATGCTCCGGCCATCTTCAGGTGATTGGAATTCAAGTTAAGAGTAAATAAATGATACTGAGACATGCGGAAGAGGTATAGCACGTGGAACTAGAACAATCTACCCTAGTGGACGAAATAAAGGATTCAGTTCGAAATTCCAGTCAACTGAAGAACGGCGAAACGTCGTGAATATGGCAAAAAAGATGAGGACAGCGGTCCGAACATATATATATATATATATATATATATACAATAGCGTAAATAATGTTAATAATGATTTACGTTTTCATACTAAGCGCTTACAAGGAAAAACTTGCGATAAAATATTATATATATATATATATATATATATATATATATATATATATATAAAAAGCGTAAATAAAAATAATGTTGATAATGATTTACGTTTTCATACTGGGCGCTTAAAAAAAACTTGCGATAAAATATTATATATATATATATATATATATATATATATATATATATATATATATACAATAACGTAAATAATTTTCATAACGATTTACGTTTTCATACTGAGCAAAACAATTAAACTTGCGATAAAATATATATATATATATATATATATATACAATAGCGTAAATAATGTTAATAATGATTTACGTTTTCATACTGAGCGCTTACAAGGAAAAACTTGCGATTATATATATATATATAAAATAATATATATATATATATATATATATATATATATACAATATCGTAAATAATGTTAATAATGATTTACGTTTTCATACTGAGCGCTTACAAGGAAAACTTGCGATAAAAACATTATCCTGCATAATAAACTCGTGATCGTTTTTTGGGGGCGGGCAGAATATTTGGGAGGGGGGGATAATATTTTGTTGTCATATATGTTGTTATATATTTTGTTGTTTCATCACAATGCTTCAAATAAACGAAACCCCTGTCTTTACACCGGTGCTGATTGCATCTCATAATCCTCAAGGAATTTGAAATATAACCTTT